GTCGCAGCCAAACAGGAACAGACCAGATGAAGCTACTATGAGAAAAAGCAGAGAGAGCATAACATTGAAGGCTTCTCTTAAGCTATCACCTTCAATGTCAGCATGTATGATAAAATCCCCACAATGATGACCCTGTCAGTATTTAACACCAAATCAGAAAGGAACTCCTGAAAACTCATTTACAAATTTAAAGTAAGGACCTGGTGGACGATACAAAGTTACAAAAAAAGAGGTTTTCTTGCATTACAATTTGGATGAGGGAAACTAAGGGTTAAATATTCAAAAGAGTTGCAATTATTAACTGCCTCTGGAGTAGAGACTGACACGGGAGTGGATATTCACTCCTGTCCCATCCCAATCACACAGAAAAAAATTGTGTCCCGTCCCGATCCCGGGCCAGAGTAGAAATCTAAATCCTGTCCCGTCCAACTCCTGGTGAAATTACCCCCACTCCCATCCCGCTCCCATTCAGAATGACTCCCGCTCCCGCACCACTCCCATTCGAGTCAAGTTCGCCACTAACTGTTGGTCCCTCCATTGTTTTTTTTTGAGCGCGGGTGAAAAACTCAAAGCGGAAGCACTGTTGATTTTTGGGTGTTGTAGTTTTTTTGACTCGCACTATAGTGTAGGCTTCAATGAAAAAAACTACAAAATGGCGGCACCAGTACTGGATTTTTTTTCTTTCTATTTTATTTTTTGGCATCGATCCTAGTTTTTCTTAATTACTATTGGTTTGCTCCTGCTCCCGTTAATGTTTAATCCTGTACCGTCACAATCACATGATCGTACGAATACTGACTCCCATCCCACGGGATTCCCGTGGGATTCCTGAAAAAATGTCAGTCTCTACTCTGGAGTAATCCGTAAGTCAGAGTGAAAGATTGTTGCTACTCCTCGCCCAGAATTGCTGGTTATGTGAAGATTTAAACAACTAGAAGGAGTTGCCTTATTTATGCTCACATAATCCTCTTTCCGCAGCCAAGTTTCTGTAAGGCAACATAAATCAATGTGATTATCACAGATAAAGTCATTAACTAGCAGACTTTTTGAAGAGGTCTTATATTAAATAAACCACATTTAATCTTTTGAACTTTTTCCCCAATTTGAGTTATTTTTACATTTTTTTTTAAAAGTTTTTTTGAGTTTTTGCGGCACTAGTGGCTTGTTTTTCTGACAGGAAAGGGGGGTATGAGAGAGGGGGAGAGACATGCGGCAAAGGACCACAGGTACTGATATTTGTGATCGATGGAAACTTAGAAACTTCAAATCAATCGGATGATCTGATTGTAAAATGGCTCTATAGAAATAAATTGAATTGATTGATGATCGGCTTCCAAAAAACCTGACCGATGCATGTCTATTAATAACAGTGAGCAAGTTCATTTATAGTTGGTGGAATATTGTTTCACAATCTTTAGTAGTTCCTTATCCTCCCAGATCCTTCAATTTGGATCTGCTGTTACCCCTATCAACCCCATAGCATTTCCTGTCAAGATCTTGCTGTTGGCACTTCATGATAAAAGCATAGATGAAAGGTAACATTACAAAATGCTGCTAAATTTATCTCTATGCACAACTTTTGAATTGTCTTGGAGAGACCATCAAGTTTTGGAAAAGCAGCTAATGTGCTGAAAACTTAAACCACTTTGAT